AATCTAGGGTTTGAATTTCTTTTTGATACTCCTGGCTCAAAAAAAAAAGAAAAAAGACATTGTTCTTTCATGGAAAAAATAATATCCATTTTGATAAATATTTATTCATGGTAACATCTATATCTCTTTTGACTGTATGATTTTAGAAACAATTAGAATAGAAGGAAAAAGAACTATGAGGTTGAAGTATTATTGACAATAGATATAAAGTTTTTTGAGGATAACATGTAAAAATTGATGTTTTGGGATTTCATTATTGTGATACTAATTCTATCTTTCACTGAGAGAAAACTTTTTTATATTAATAATAGTTAAGTTATTTGCTATACTTGGCACATTGCTGCATCATATTCTCCCTCTTTGAATCTGATGGTTTAGATCTAAGGAGTACTGTTTAGCAAAAGAAAAGCTTTTAGTTCTTTGGTCATCCCCCACCAATCCCTAAGATGAGAAAACCCTTTTCTTCTTGTTTGATATTTTGATATTTTAATAAAGTATTTTTTTTAAATATATTAAAATAATATTTTTTTTTATTTTTTAAAATTTATTTTTGAAATCAGCAAGTAAAAATGATATGAAAAAATAAAAAAAATATAATGTGAAGAAAAAAAAAAACAGTTTCGAATAAAAGAAACAAGGATATGAATGATAATCCTTGCTGCCATGTCCCAAGTATCTGGTCTCATTTCCTTTTCTTTTCTGTTTTGTATGCTATCACTTGAGAAGCCTCCCCAAAGAGCCTCACATGGGTCTAGCCCAGGAAACAATTTGGAAGCCTGAGATCTATCTCTGTCAGTGTTTTATTTTATTTTTGAAGCCCGAAATCACACGAGCACCAAACAACTATTGGACATTTCCCTGAGAACAAGGCCCCTGTTCATCGTTTTGCCCACCCATGTTTTTGAAAATAGAAAATAGACATAGCTAATTATAGTAGTTTGGTTTGAGAATCTTAGAGAAGTAAATACATTCAAAGATAAAATTAACTCGATTAGAAATGTTGGAGGATTATCATATCATATTCATCCATTAACCATGGATTTAATGTGATCTTACTTGCATTTCAGAGTGTCCAGCTTCAGATCTTCCCTCTCAAAACCCCATTGAGATTGAAATCACACTGCTGATTTTTGTTTACATCATATGGTATTCAAACAACGTGAGTTCCACTGCAATAATTGTAAATTTTACGTGCCCCAGATAATGTAGAAGACGATGGCCCTGTCCTTAATTGTTATAGCATTGAAGTTCAATATAGATAAGAAAAAAGGAGAAGAAGTCTCCTTTGCATATTAAGAAAAGGGCATAGATGATGAGTGGATTAGCGTGCTACTCTTGACCATAATTATGGTGTCTTTTTTTACTTGCAGAAGCAAAGGCACTAGCATGCGTTCAACACATTACAAAATAGGGTAAGCTTCCCGTACACACACATACATAAATTAGGCAGAACTCTTCCCATTTCACTTAAAATAGTAACACGCGGATCGAAAGCCTTCAGCAGACCATTTCCATCTCCATCTCAACTAACTAATCCTGCAGAAGGAAAAACATCCGGTTATCAAAGAGAAAGCGGGAAACTGCAGTAAAAGGAAAAAAAAGCAAGCTGAGAGAGTTGATAGATATGTTACTTGGAACAATCAACACTGGGAGAGATAGTGTAAGGCAAGTTGATTCCACAGTTAGCTGGAAGAGCCTGGGCCAACTGGGGGTTTGGATTTAATGACTTTGAAGCTGATTTGATACACTCACAAGCTGCCTTCTTATCAGCGGTGCTTGATGCAGCAGATTGAAGAGCTGAGGCTCCTGCACAGCATGCAGAAGGTGGTTTCCCAGTGCCGCTCGTAAGGTAGCTCACACAAGGCCTCAGGTCCTTGATCACATCACTGCAGGAAATCGCAGCATCAGAAGTTGGGGCAAGTAAAAGAAACATCATTAGAGCAGCCATTGCTGCCACCACTACACTTGAAGAGTTCATGGCGTAGGAGTAGGTGAGATAAGACTAACTTGAGCACTTCCCCTGAAACTTGAAACTAGTTTCAGTTTTATAGTGGACCTGGAGGGATACTCACAAGTGCAAGAAAGGTTAGAAAATTCTAAAGATTTAGAGGATTCAGTTATCAATGAGTGCAAGAAATTAAAAAGAGGAAATGATCTCTATAAGTTAGTGTAAAAAAGTCAAGTTAGGTGGGATTAATGAAGAAAGTTTCAAGCAAGCTATTGAACCTGCCCATCTTAACTTATGCAAGAATGGTTACTTCGCTAATTGCCTGAAACAAGATTTACCATTCAACTGTTTTCTCCCCTGTCCCAGGTTCCTCTAATTTCCACCGGAGGCCAATCCTATTAAATATTCTGTCCAGAAAAAAACATCTTAATTTTAAAATATAATTTATATTATTTTATAATATATTTTTTTAAATAAAAACTTAAAATTTCCATAAACCCACGATAGTTTATACAATTAATTAATTTTAATTCAAAATAAAAATAAAAATATTAAGATTCAACTTAAAACTTCCATAAACCCATGATACTTTATACAATTAATTAATTTTAATTAAAAAAATAAAAATATTAAGATTTCAACTCGTAATTATCAAAACTTCAATACTATATTAAAAAACTATCTTAATATAAAAATTTAAGTTATATAATAAGATACTAAAATATAATTTATATTATATTTTAATTCAATACAAGAAATACAGTCTATATCGAGTTAAAAACTTATTATAGCTTATAATAAGGATGATGTAGACACCCAATTGCATTTGTGATGCATTGGAGCAGTGTAACATCGGCAGGTCGGCACCTAATACTCAATACAGAAGTAATGTCAAACCCCGAGTGAAACATTTTTTGGAGCAAGTTCCATCAAATATGTTTTTTCCCAGTTAAAAGAATATAGAGCAGAAAAACAATCAGACACTCATTTCTCATGAATGGATATCTCAACCATCTATAATTGTTTTTTCTAATAAATTAACTGATAGAGTAAAGCAAGTGCATTCGGCTGTCGTCTATGTTTATGTAGCTTGGCTGTTGAGCATTTGCTTCGCTTTTTGTTACTTGTACTGTTCAACTTAGACTATAAATTTATTATATTACAAGAACAAGAAACAACAAATGTCTTCTCCTACAAGCGCTGGTGTCTGTGGTCCTTGGTTCATCCGAGTGTTGATGGTTAGGAAAAAGACTGCCAAAACAAATATTGATGCAGCTAGTGTTGTCATAGGCCAAGTAAACATTATAATTGATGATTTATCTCTACAAAGCAAATTACTAACCACTCTCTTTTTCTGTCAAATGAGCCATTTTGTTTCTGTATTGGTTGGTGTGATTAGACTAGTTACATTGCAAACAGAAAACAGCATGTGTACATTATAGTGATGTTCTCCTGATGGGAAACAGTGCCTGCAAAAAATACCCCAAGGGAATCAGTGCAGGTCTATATCTGTGACTCTTCCAATTTCATTGAAATTATGCTAAGAGGACACTAGCTTTTGTCTAAAAGTATATCAATGCTACTGCAATTCAATTGTTATTATTGGATATAACTGCTCTTCTTAACACACAACACAGTAAGGTCAGAATTTAAATGTATGCTGTCAAAAAATTGAAATACTGCACTTACATGTGGATAAGTTTGCATGTATACTTTTATGTTTATTGATTCTTGAACCCTCTTAATTGAATTCTGCAATCTATCATAACATAAAGACAAGGAATGCCGAATCTTTGTTACAGAGAGCATGGATGATTCATTCGAAAGAAAATAAAACACAATTTCAAAAATGATTTTACTGTAACTTTTTATAATGATTGCCAAAATGGTTAGCAGAACTACCTCTACCTTTTCTGAAATTAAGCTATCAATCACGATGAAAGGGGCTTGGAATTTTAAGCCTGCAGCACCCCTTGATCTTATTAAGGTCCATACAAAGTAGGAACTAGAACGAAAAACCGAAAGTGCGACCGGTATTAAAACTCTGTGTGTCCAAAACTGTTGGTTGTGCTTGCTCTGACCATAATGCCACTTCACCCCCGAGCACCAACTTGGTCTCCTCCGAGGTCAATCCATATGCTATGTCATAGTTATATATGGTTTGCCATGTTTTGAAAGGTCCACACCATGATCCACCAATGCCACTGTTACCGCTTGGTGGTGGTTGATTTTCAATACCTATATTCCGGGTTCGGAACTAACAATGCAGGAAAAGTGTCAAAAACACATTTTACTTACACTAAACTTTAAAATAGTTATATGAAAAAAACACATTCAAAATTACACAGTATTTTATAATTTTTAGAAATAGTATACTTGAAACCAAAATTTCTTATCAATAATTAAAATTAAAATAATAATATATAATACTCATTACATTATCAAAAACTAAACTTAATTAAAATAAGATAATAGAAGAGCATCTAAAACATCAAATCAAAATTAAAAGGAAAGCCTCACAAAATAAGCAAGGTATACTAACCAAAACTGAAAAAGCTATAACACTCAACAAAATTCACTCGCTATCAGAACCTAAAAACTTGAAATAATATTAAAAATAAAAGATGAGTTCAACTAACTCAGTAAAAAAATAATATTTAATATATATTTTAGATATTAATAGTTACAAGTTGATCTATCTTGATATACATATATATACTAAACATATTATCATAAAGTAGTGGAATATATGTCAGAGATTAGATGATACCTAAAGTTGACGAGATGACATTCAAAAGTGACCAGATGACACTTAAAGGTGACCACTATGAGATGATTAGTCGCCATAGGCTGATGCCTATCTCACCAGCTAGCTATGTAAAATACCATGTGCACATAAACTAACTACTCTCCATTAGAATAGAGTTAATGACAAGTCTTATATCAAGGCATAATAGATATTTATAGAATCATCAGAGAAACTTATATCGTATCAAATAAAATTTAGTTTGACCGATTCCGAGTGTAAATTCAAAAATAAATAAGTACTTGAAAAATAAAACAACATATATAAGTATTCAAGAAATTAACTAGTTGTACTCATTGTATAATCAACATACATATGTATTTAGTATCCTAGATTTAGGGACTAAAACGACAATTATCCAAAATTAGACCAAACATAATTTTATCAAAATTGGACCAAATTATAAATACATAACCATACTAAAATTTCACTCATAAACCATCCTCAATCCTGTCTAGAAAGAACTAGGGACCAAAATATAATTTTTATAAAGTATATGGACTAAACTGTAAATTTCTAAAATTAAAGGACCAAACTAAAAATATTCCAAATAAATTATCAAACTGATATTCATCATTCTTAAGCTCAAAATAACACTATCTAGAATCTCAAAATACATTTAGGGGTCAAATTGTAATTTTTTCAAAGTTTAGGGACTAAACTGAAATTTTCATAAATCATGGATCAAAATAAAATTTTGACATCTTTAACCACAAGACCATTCTGTCCAGATTTTCTAGCAAGATTGAAATGGATTTCTTTACCCATAAAAATTAATTTAAACAAATCAACCCATAAATCCTTATTTTTAACAACATATTAATTAATCACATAATATTAAACCCTTAATAATTATAAAATTAATCTTAACAATATAAGCTTCCAATCCTTATAAACCCTAATATCTTTTTTAATTATTCTATAAACAAACTACAATTAAAAGTAATATAAAAGAGAAGCACTTATTTGTTACTTTCACCTTTCTTGAACCAAAAACTCAAGATCAAAAACTAAAATCTTTGGTTTGAGGAGGGGAAGGTCATGACGGCTACAAAACTCAAGATCAAAAACTAAAATCTTTGATTTGAGGAGGGGAAGGCCATGACGGCTATAAAAATTAGAATAGAAGAAAGAAATTCTCTTGTAACTCTTTTTTAAATACCTAGGTTAACTTAGGTTGAGTTTAGGCTGATTTTAGCTTAGTTTTGTACCAAAAATTTGGATTTTACAATCATATTGGCTATCATTCCAAACAAAACCACAATGCCTCCAATCCAAATAATAAAACTCTAAGGATGATGCAATAGGTCTGTAACTAGAAGAAACGACCAGTTTTGTGTTGTTTGGACCGTTGTTTCCTGTTTGTAGGATGATATGATTAGTGAAAAAAATGAAGGGTGCTGTCATCCAATAAAAAGTCTTTCCAACAAACCATTGTGCGATTGAGGGACATAATATAAAGGAAGATTAGGCTAACAAATGTCTCAAGGAGTTGACTGAGAGTTCCATTGCCAGGTTTACTTTCTAACATCCAAGCCTTCAACATGGTCAAATGGCTCAGGAAATAAGGTAGCTGTATCACCAATCACTCTGTATCACCAATCACATTTTATAGAACTTGGTAGGTCTTTGGATTCAAGGGATTTAGGTGGCCTATTCTCGGCTCTAATGTAAACTAGCCACCCCACTGGCTTTCAGCCAGCCACCAGAACATGTTTGCACAAGTCATGAAATTCAAAGAGGCTTCAACCCACGATCTTGTATGTGCTGCAATTATCAATAATCTCACTTAGTCATGCGTTCCAAACAGCACCTTTGAGAACACAACCAAATACATAAAGATACATTAAACCTTCTACACAGATGATTCAACAATGAGATTTACTAGTTGCTATTTATCACATTATTTTTATAAGAAATTAACCAGCTTTCCTCATTGAGTTCCCACGATCTAACCCACTCATTTTTCTTATTAACATTTCAGATTGCCTTTCACACTCCAGTAGTTCAAACTTAAAAACAAATATAAAGCCCTAATACTCTTAACTTGGCATTAACAGAGCATCACAATGAGGGCATAAAGGATGATTTTAGCATAAAAGAACAACACAATCTCACCGTTGACTGGATCACATTACTAGAAACCTTTTTTAAAGAAATCTTACATGCTTTACGAACTCAAATAAGATATCTCTTACTTGTGTTGCTTTAAATTTTCTCTTTAGTTTAGTATTTCCCTGTAATATTTTTTATAGGGAAACAAACAAGGGCGACATTGCCAAATGTCCACAATATCTTAGTTTAAGGCTTTATTTTAGTTTTAGTTTACAAGAACCCAAAATGAAGGACTTGTTTTAGATTTCAGAGATGTGTTAACTGCATTTTAGTTAGGGTCTTTTGGTTTGCAACCAAAAAAAGGTCCATTAAGGTTATTAGATGGAGAACTACATATTATTTTCTTTGTTGCAAAATCTAATAGCTATGATATTTTAAATAAATTTGTGTTTTGCATGATGTAATGTTCTTTTCTTTGTTAAGACAAAGAACAAATTTGACTTATTAATGTATAATTAATCTTGTGGCATCTTCACATACTTTAGGCTCTTGGATCAATGAGTTCAACTTCAGTTTTCAATATCTTTAGATATTAGGTATAAGGTTATCTTTGGATCAAGGTTTATCTATCAAAAACTTGAGTTTTAGCTTTTTAAGATTGTGCTAATTTTGCTTGAGAATTTCTAGATCTTTATATCTTACTCTAATGCTAACTGATATAAACACCATGAATATAAAGATCTAGAAATTCTCAAGCAAAATTAGCACAATCCTGAAAAACCAAAACTCAAGTTTATGATAGATAAACCTTGACTCAAAGATAATATTATACCTCATAACTAAAGGTACTGAAAACCTAAAATGGGCCCTTTGATTATAGAGAATCAAGAGCCTGAAGTATGTGAAGACATCACAAGATTAATTATACCTTAATAAGTTAAATTTGCTATTTGTTTTAGCAAAGAAAAAAGTGTTACATCATGTAAAACATAAGTTTATTTAAAATATCATGGTTGCTGAATTTTACAACAAAGAAAACAATATATAGTCATTCAAATAACCCTAATGCACCTTTTTTAGACTGCAAACCAAAAAACCTAAACTAAAACTCAGCTAACACATGTCTAAGGTCTAAAACAAGACCTAAATATTGGCTTTGAGTTGTCATAAACCCAAACTAAAACAAAGACCTAAACTATAATTAAAATAAAACAACAATAAAGCTCTAAATAAATATTCAGATTAATATAAATAATTTAAATAAGCCACAACATGATCTTCCTTACTTGATTTTCTACATATAGCTGAAATCACAATCTAGTAGAGATATGATAATGTTGATGTCGTTGATGTTCTCTCTGAGCATGAAACTATTAAATATAATTTTTGTTTTGTTTCCTTTAAATAGTTGCTCATGATAATCTTTTTATGTTAGGAGATCCTTGCACAACATGGACAAATAACAATGAGGCATGTTTCTTTATTGTTGCCTATAAGATTTCCTTTTATTATTATGATTTTATTAATTAATCCCCACCACATAAGGAAACCTTTATTGCTACCATTAAATGTCCTTATAGAATTAAGAAAACTCCTAGAATTAGTTGTTGAAAATCTTTATATTAGTAGAAAGAATTTTTTCAAATAGAAAGTTCATAAGTTAAAAGGCAACAAATAGCAAAATTCATATTGCATTTGTTAACCTATATCATAAAACCTTTCCAAACTCTAATTGACCTTAAATTTTAACTCAATATAATGTAATATGTCTGAAAACTCCTGTAAAATTTTAGTTAATTCAATAGTCGGATTGATGTCATTTTCAGGACTCGAATCCTAGATCTGTGACTAGTAACACATGAGTGGGTTTCATGAGGATATCCCATCTATGCCAAGCCTCAAACATACTTATCATAAAATAAATTATACAAATTTCACAGCATTTCATAAACTTTCAAAATACTCTTCAAAACCAATAAAATCAAATAATCTTCATAATACTTATTATAATATCAAAATCTGATCTTTAACTAAAACAAAGTATTATTAAAGCACTCTAAGATATTAAAATAGAATTAAAAAAAAGCCTCACGAAAGCAAGCAAGGTATACTAACAAAAAAAAAAAAACAAGAACTCTCAACAAAGTTAACATCCTAACAGAAAATAAAAACCTAAAAATAATATTAAAAAGGAGGGGTGAATTCAACCAACTCGATGAGAAAATACCATTTAATACACGTCACATATATAAAATAGAAGTATAAGAATTGAAACATACACACACATACACACATTAAGCATAATAGTAATATAGTAGTGGAATACATGTAAGATAATAAATAATATATAAAACCCTAAGGTTCCAATAACTATGGAAGAATCAATAGCCTCAAGCTAGTGCCTCACTCATCATTAGATATACAAAATTACTATATGCACATAGACTAACTACTTTTTATTAGTATGGAGTTTTTGACAAGTATCCCAATATCAAGATATAAGAGATATTCATATTATTATCAAAGCAAATGAATATCATATCAAATAGAATGTAATTCAACAGAATGCAAATGTAATTTCAAGAATAGATAAGTATTCAAAAAAAGCAACAACATATGTGATTATTTAAGAAATAATTAGCTGTACTCATCATTTAATCAGCATACATAAATTATTTATATTTCATGCACAATAAAATTATCATACTCACACAAAAAATCAAAACAAAAGATAAACAGATGTAGAAATGAAGATTACTAAATATCGTTAGGAGAAATGTTAAAAGAACCTATAATGAATACAAAAATCATACTATAAGCAACTCAAAATAGATAATATAAAATATTTCAACTCTAATAGTAAAGACCAAAACATAATTATAAAATCAAAATATATTCACTTGATTGATCCTGAACATCTCCCAAACTAATCAAATAAAAAAGAACTGATTAACCCCTACTATCTAGTTAATCGATCAATCAATCTAGACTATCACACAAACTGGTCAACCAAAAATGGCTAATCAATCAAACTATTCAAGCTAACCAATTAGCTAGTAGATCATGATTTTAGAATCCTAATCTCTTAGTTTCCTAAACTGCAAAGCATATAAGAACCATCTTGTTCCTCTAAAATCCATAATTCCAGTCCTTAATCAGTTCATTTTAAGTTAAGACTAACGCCTAAAACATCCATTACACCTATTAAATCATCAATACATTAAACATCATAAAATTCTTAAAAGAGTACATTTTTAATCCATTAACTATCAAATCCATAATAAAAAACAACAAAAAATAAGAGTCATGATGCTTGCTTCTTTGACCCTTTTTTAAATCTAAAAACTTAAGTTTAAAGTTGAATCTTTTAATTAATATGAGAGGAAAGTCACGATAAAGGAGAGAAACAAAGAAAAAGAGAAAAAAAATTTAATTAATATGAGAGGAAAGTCACGATAAGAAAAAGAGAAAAAAAAATCAATTCCTTAGCAACATTCTCTTTAAATACCTAATTAGGTTAAGTTCTTAAATTTGGGTTAAACTTAGGCTTGGGTTTGATAGGCCAAAACATGAGTCTTACAATTATGCATAATAATATAAAATTGGACAACAAACACAATTACACTTAGATTTTGAATTTTTTTATTTGACCTTTTTTTAAATTGTATTACACTGTAATTGCTGTCAAAAAGATGTATGGGTCTCCCACGTGCCATCAACTTCTTGAAATGTAATATTAGTTAATTAACTTAAAAAAACCAAATTACCTATGATGGCCTGGAATTAATGAAAAAAACCTATTTGAAAAGACTATATTTTAATTTTTTATTCCAAAGAAAAAAATGTCCTTTCATTGTATTTTAAAAATAGAAAAGATTTAAATACCCTGACAATTTAAAAAAATTTGAACTGAATAATGATTAAGTCATTTTATTGTTTCAAAAAAAGAAAAAGACATGTACCCTTAGCCAAATCATTAATGACTAATAAATCAACCAAAAGGTAAGATCAAACTACTCCTACCTAATAGTACTTTTAATTTTTTTGAAAGGGCACAAAAGTTATTGTATTATAACAATGAGTAATGAATTTAGATTATATGCACAATGATTGTTATATGGTTTTCTTAATGGGATTTAGAGTTTTTGTTAATTAAAAAAAAAGATATAACTATCAATTAAATTATAAATTCATTATTGATTTTTTTGAAATTTATTAATACTAAAATTGATTTCAATACACTCAATTGAGGATGTCTATTTATTTTGGAGGATGTCTATCTATTTTCAATACTAAAATTGATTTCAATACACTCAAGTCAATGTCTGGATTATAAATTGAGGATGTCTATCTATTTTCATTTTTTTTTAAATCAAAACAAAGATGTTTTGATTAATTTTTTTTTTTTATAAAATAAAAATAAATAAAGAGTCATGTTTTGAATGAGTCAGGTTAAGTCGATTAGATAAGTAGATTGATTTGGATTTTTTAAACTAAGATATCTATTTTGTTTTTTTTTTTTAATTTTTTATTCAACTTGAATAGCTGGAGACCCGTAAACAACTAAATTATAGGTTAACATATTAAACCAATCTTTTATAATTATGCAATGTACTGTATAAAATTCAAGTGCATGTTTGTTTTTGCTTTTAGAGGTGAGGCTGCTAAAGGCAAAGACAGCAAAAGCATTTTTTTTCTCGTGTTTTTCACTTTGAAGGGTTGTATCCCACAACAAACATAAAAACAGAAACAAAAACAAACATACCTAATATGAAGATAAAGAGATCCAAATTGAAAGGTCGGGATTTTTCTTTGTTCACTCCTGTATATATTTGTATTTGTTTCCTTCTACGGGTATTTCTTTTTTTGTTATTGCAATTTTATAGATTTGGTATTCAGGGGCTGTTGAGCTTTATATCTTTGCCCTATTCACAAAACTACTATATAACGCAGATAAATAAGCATGCTGCTTTTCGAACTCTGAGTCCTTACCCGCATCAGTAGATGGGTATCAGGTAGATATGCCGCCCAAGCATGCACTAACATATACATGCGTGCTCAGGAATTTTTGTTTACTTGAAAGACTATTCAAGTTAGAAAAGAAAATCATGCTATGCCAATGTTACACATGTTACGTATCTTCTTGTAATCATCATCCAGACTTGGGAAATTTTGCAAATGCGGGCCACCCATATATGAATCTTGGTGTGAAAGAGAAGGTGAACAAAGTTTGAAAGCATACTGCATGCAAATATGGATGTATATCCCGTTGTCTTGCTTGCACGTTACAGCCTTTAGCTTCTCTCTACTTTTATTTATTTGCTGTCTTTTCCCTTTTCCTCAACACAACCATTCATATCTGTGTTCCTTAAGCTGTCTTATAAACAGAATATGGCTCTAGTCTAGGCTTTGATCTCCTTGTAAATGCACGCAAGTACCTTATCAAGCTCAACCTCCTTCTTTCTTTGAATAACTCGATCGGCTGGAAATTATGGGGAACTGCCTTTCCTCCACTCAATCTGCAGTAAAACCTAATGTTACCTCCAAGAAACGGAAAACATTGCCCATTGATGCCTCTTTCAAGCTTCCCGCTCCCTTACCATCTTGGCCACCAGGTTGCTTTCTTCTTTCTGGTAGTAAACTGTTAATGCAGTCCTATTGTGGTGTACTGTTGAATATATTTCTTTATATATGTGTACAGGTGAAGGTTTTGGCAGTGGAATTATTGATCTTGGAGATGGATTACAAGTGTGCCTGTTATCATCTTTCAACAAAGTTTGGGCCACACATGAAGGAGGGCCAGATAATCTCGGAGCTTCCTTCTTCGAACCCTCACAATTTCCACAAGGATTCTCTATGCTTGGTTCCTACAGCCAACCCAACAACACGTTGCTATATGGATGGGTTCTTGCAGGGAGAGACGACACAGGCTCAGCACTGAAGCAACCGATTGATTATACTCTTGTTTGGAGCAGCGATTCTCTGCGAATCAAGCAAGACGGCGTTGGCTACTTTTGGCTACCTACTCCGCCTGATGGTTACAAAGCTGTAGGCCATGTCGTCACCAACTCCCCTCAGAAGCCTCCTCTTGGAAAAATCCACTGTGTCCGGTCTGACCTCACCGACCAATGCGAGTTTGACTCGTGGATATGGGGACCTGGTAAGGAGAGCGATCCAAATGGTTTCAATGTTTATAGTCTGCTGCCTAGCAATAGAGGAACACAAGCCATGGGTGTCTGTGTAGGGACATTTGTAGCCCAAAATACTATCACTGCTCCTGTTTCTCTGTCTTGTGTGAAAAATGTGGTGTCCAATCTATCTTGTATGCCTAATCGAAACCAAATTCAAACGATCTTTCAGGCATATTCTCCTTGGATGTATTTTCATCCTGATGAACAATACCTCCCTTCTTCAGTGGATTGGTATTTTAAAAACGGGGCATTGCTATATAAAAAGGGGGACGAATCCAAACCTATGCCAATCGAATCCAATGGCTCGAACCTTCCCCAAGGTGGTGCAGATGATGATACTTATTGGCTAGATCTTCCTGTGGACGAAGGGGCCAAAGATAGGGTAAAGAAAGGAAATCTACAAGATTCCCAAGTCTATTTACACATAAAGCCAATGCTCGGAGCCACATTCACTGATATAGCTGTGTGGGTGTGCTACCCTTTCAATGGTCCTTCAAAGGCTAAAGTTGAATTTATAAATATTCCATTGGGAAAGATAGGAGAACATGTTGGCGATTGGGAGCATGTGACCTTGAGGATCAGCAATTTTAATGGAGAGTTATGGAGTGTCTATTTTTCGGAACACAGTGGGGGAACATGGTTGAAGGCTTCCGAACTCGAGTTTCAAAATGGCAACAAAGCTGTGACCTATTCATCCCTACACGGCCATGCCATGTATGCCAAGCCAGGTCTAGTTTTGCAAGGGAGTGGGGGCATAGGAATTAGGAATGATACCGCTAAAAGCAAGAAATTCATGGATACAGGAACAAATTCCTTAGTGGTGGCAGCTGAGTATCTGGGCACAGCCATTAATGAACCACCATGGCTCAACTATTTCAGGAAATGGGGTCCAAAAGTTACGTACGACATCTCGGCAGAGATCAAGAAGGTGGATAAACTATTGCCTGGAAAACTAAAATCTGCTTTCGACAAGTTTATCAGGAGTCTACCAAATGAAGTGCTCGGGGAACAAGGACCAACAGGCCCCAAAATGAAAAGGAATTGGACTGGAGATGAAGTTTGAATATTGTATAATATATAATTACATGACATAAGCTTGGATTAATTATTTTTTAGGGGCAGTGATTTAGCCATTAATTCCATCAATATTTGTACCAAAAAATAATCAAGGCGCAGTGTTTCATTTCATTTACAAAAGAAATCCCAAATTGTAGAGTGATGGTTTTGCATGTTGCAAACAAATTTGAATACCTAAAATTTTACAAGCATGCACACGTATATAAATATTTAATTTTATTAAAACATATAATACAATCCATATCAAAAATATTCTTACAAAAACAATAAATAATTTTTTGATTTTTTTTCTTGAATTTGATAAGTACTAATTTGATTTATTTATGAAATTAAACAAAGATTTATACTTTACAAGAATGCAAATTTAAACATGAGTTACAGAGTGAAATTTGATGATTAAATACTTTAAAAAGTATTTTTGATTTGTTTTCATAGCATTCTTGAAAAATTCTTATGTGGCATCTATACTTAACTCAATAAAAATTCATTCTTTATAGACTTTAAATATAAATGCAAAGATTTGATAGCTTTATAGAGAGATTTTTTGCTTGAAAAAGTTTGTCCTGAAATTTTATTTACATTTACAATGATTTTTTTTTTTATCTAGGATGAGACCTTTTATTTATAAAAGTTTACAGAGGCTATTGGGTTTTTTTTATAATGTCACATAATATTATTTTATTAGTTAATTTTTATTTATAGGATGTTATATTTATAACAAGATATTTTAAATATTTCATTAGCTAAAAAATACATGTAGAACTATTTATTTTTTATGTCATTTATTTTATTTTTTATCTAAAAATAAAATAAAAATGACACATAGTGAAATTTCATTGTTAGAAGTTTTTTGTTTCTACATATGATCTCTAAAGATAAATTCACTTACACTTAAAAATAAATAGGTAAATCTCAAAAATATAGTTGAGAGAGTTTTATACTTTAAATGTGTTTTTTTTATTAAAATTTGATTTGATTATATTAGATTTTGATAATAAATAAATAAATAAATATATTTTACTAAAAATATAAAATATAATAATCAAAATTAAAAAATTAAAAATTAATTTTAAGTAAAATTTATCAAATTAAATAATAGAATCAAATTTCAACACTCCCATCAAATTAAACAAGACTATCGATGAAACAAAGAAGTCGGCGGCCTGAATCCAATAGCGCCATCAATCCCTCCATGATTCTACCTAGCGGATAATAAATAAAGACGTATGAAAGATCTTGTTTTTTCTTTTTTCCTCTCACTCGTCTTAATTTCTGTGCACTCATCCTTTGTGTGATTTCTTTACTTGGTACCATGTAAGAACCAATATAACGTCGACATAATACTTGCATATTGTATACAACCTGTTCACAATGAAAATTATGCTGCATTCCTCAATTCTTTACATATAAATCAATGTTTAGGAATTGTTTTAGATTTTAGGAATGTGTTAGCTGAATTTTATGATATTTTCGCATATTTTAATTATTGATTTTCTATAATCAACGAGTTCAATTTTAATTTTTAATATTTTTAGTTATTAGTTATAAAGTTATTTTTGGATCAAGTTTTATCTAACACATATTTAAATTCCAGTTTCTTAAGATTATGTTAATTACTTAAAGATTTCTAGATTTTTATATCTTATTATAATACCAACTAATATAAATACTATGAATATAAAAATCTAGAAATTAAAAATTCACAAGCAATATAGATATAATTTTTGAAAGATACGTGAGCCTTTCACAAGCTATCAACTTTTTAAAATGTAATATTAATTAATTAAATTAAAAAAATCAAATTATCCATGATGGTCCCAAATTAACAAAAAAAAAAACCTATGCAAAAATATCAAACCTTTGTACTTATATTTTAAATTTTTATTTCCAGGGCAAAGATGTTCTTTTATTGTATTTAAAAAAAAAAGACTTAAATGTTATCTAACATCTTAAAAAAGTTAAACTAAATGGTAATTAAATCATTTTATTATTCAAAATAGAAAAAGTCATATATTCCCGGTCAAATCATTAATAACTAACAAGTCAGAAAAACGAGACTAAACTACATCCATCTAATAGTACTTTTTTTTTTTGGAAGGTTACAAAAATCATTGTATAATAGCAATAAATAGTGAATTTAGATTGTATGCACAATGATTGTTATATAATTTTCTCAATGAGATTTAAAGTTTCTGTTAATTAAAGAAGAAAGATATAAATGTTAATTAAACTATAAATCCATTATTGACTTTTTTTGTACTTTATAATACATGTATATTATATACTCTGTTCACAATGAAAATTATGCTTCATTCCTCCTTAATTCGTTCCATTCTTGATACGAGACATCGCCCCTTGCTCAATTTTTTTTGAAAGACTAATTCATTAAGTTCGTCAGCTTCATTAACTTCTTTCCCTTCCATATCTTTCCTTCCCTGTTCATTTCCAGCACAAGAAAGACCGACCTTGCTCTGTAGGAAATTTTTTTAATCAAGCAAGAGAATTCTTGACCCAAAAGCGTGGACCAGTCTTCAGAACAATAGAGAAGGAAAATAAATTAATCCCTCTTGGTCTGTAAGAAACTTCTTTCAACTGCATGCCAACATATATTAAACTTCTTTCCAACGTGAATCGGCCATCGGCCATCATGAAGGAAAGAAATCTGGGTGTTTTTGGACTTTGTTTTTGCAGCCACCCACCAGGGCTGCTTAGCAACAAGGAATAAAGCACATTCATGAAAAAAAGTTGTCTCTCTCTCTCCGAAGCACGAGAAAGGAGTTTTCTAGGTGTTTTTGCCGGTTAGTCGTCTTCGCTGATACCACCCCTACAAAACTACGGTTAAAGTTGTCATACAGCCTATATTGCCTTTTAATCTTGTAGGGACTAATGAAATTATTAGTAACAATTCTTTATTAATTTTTTATTTTTTTGACTTCTTCACAGGCCGTTTCCGTCACCCAGCATCAACTGCAGTAGTGTTTGAATGAGAAGATGAACCAAGTATTATTTTTCCTTTCTTTCACATTATTTTACAATTTTTTTAAAAAAACTTTTTTGTGAGTGAGGTGAGTGGTGCAGCAAGAAAATTTTAAATGAAAAGACAAATTATAAATATTTAATATTATATATTATATAAAAAATAATTTAAAATTTATATACTAATTCATATCAAGTAAAATTAATTTAAGAATATTTTTAAAATAAAAAAAACTTATATTATAATTATTTTTTTTTCAAGTTTTCATATTTTAAAATTACTTAACAATGACTTTATTATTAATTTTATTAAAAATATTCTTTCTCAATATATACAATGAATCATTTATTTATCTATTTCTAAATCTTGTAGGGACTAATGAAATTATTAGTAACAATTCTTTGTTAATTTTTTATTTTATACAAGTAGGTTAAATATAAATATAAATATAAATATAAATATAAATATTTTTTTATTATATTCCTAATTTTTTTAGTTTAGTAGTTTATTTGTAATCACTAGTATATTAATCACCATTATTTTTCATATAAAATTCATAATAGAATACATATTATTTCAATACATATTATTTCATCAAAATTCATTTCAATTCATATTGATATACATATAATATTATACATAAATATATTAATTTAACAGACCCATAAATTATCATATTATCAATGACAAGAAACCTAGAAAATCTATACTTGTTCGCCGAGACAAAATCCTACTAACGACCAACCTACACCCTTCCCTTAAACCAATCTTTTACATTTCTTCATATTGAACGACAGCAAAACGACCTCCATTTGAATCACTCTACTGCCACCGTCTCAGCGAGTGCAATGCTTAAAAAAAACTTATTAAATTATTATATTAAAATTTTAAAATAAAATATATTTTAAAAAAAGGATTAAGGGGCAATTGCCCCCTTAATCCCTATTGTGGCTCCGCCACTGACTGGGTTGATAAAATCAGTCTCTGCCTCGTCAAGTGTTTGCAAGGAATCTTAATAAACACGCCCCTTCCTTTCTCTAACCAAACAATGAAAATCTGTTAAACGTTCTTTAATCCAAACAAGTGAAAGGTGCTGCCTTCCTCTTAATTTGTGATTCTTCAGCCTAACCCCCTCCCGGCCCCTCCTCAGTCTTCATCCTGATTCCCTTAGCATACTGTAAATTGCTTGCCCTAATCTCCCTGGGAAGTGTCATTTTACCATCCAAATAAATAAATGGTGGTATGGGTCCTAGTGGGCTTCACCAAAAACCAGGCTCTGTGATTCGTCACCCATCGTTGAGCCCCACCCTACTTCAGAAAACAAATTAAAGGAAAACAAAGGCTCAAATTGGAAATAAAGAAAAATAAAGAGGAGAAATTCGTGATTTTGAATAATATTCAAAAGGGCTTTCATAAATTGGCCTTTATATACAAGTATAACCCTCACAGTCAGCATCATGGCAAAGGTAGGGTTTTTGGCCAAGCCGCACAAGGCTCCATCCTTGAGTTTCCAGTTCTCAACTCATCCAATCCGGGTTTGTTTGCCATCTTATTTCGATCAAGTAATCAAAATAATTGATGGGTTATCCTAATTCTTGTTGTTTTTAATTTTAAACAATCCGATGATCAAAGGAATTGATGGGGCTGGAGTTTGGCTCTTTGGCTGATAAAAAGTGCCACAGAGATGAATGCAGCTACCTATAACAAACAACCCTTTCTCACCCTTTTTCGCCTTTTTTTTTCTGGCGGATTTCTGTAGAAAGGCTGATACATCCTCGATTCTTTATTTTATTTTATTTGGTTCCGTATCGAGTAGTAATTCAGGCAGCCTCTTTGCTGAAAAGAAGATAGCAAAGAAGGTGTTAAACTGCTCGTACATTAATTTGTCTTATGCTCTTCAGACTTGCTGAGACTTCTCTTGTCTTTGAAGCTGGTCTAGTAAGCCTAAGCACATCATCTTTTCTTTTTATCCTTAATTTTTCCGAAAACTAATCCTTCTCATTTTATTTTTTGAAGGTGAAATATAATCTCCAGTGATAATTTGTTCTATATTTATCTATAAGAATAGAATAATTTTCCTTTTGAGTTATCAAATACTAAAAAATTATGATTAGAATTTATCGAAGTTACTCGTAATAAAACTGTGTACAAACCATTGGGAAGAAGTTAAGGCATTCCTTTGAGTGGGTGTGGTCAATGGCGGTATCATTTAGCCAATCGGATGGGGAGGAATGGAAGTTGCTGTACCTTATAATGATCGATTCATGGGATTGAAATGTATCTTATGGTGTACAAAGGATTACTTGCTATGACCGTATACTTTGAGAGAGAATCAGCTAGTACTTTCAGTCTTGAGTTATGGAAAATGAGTGTGGACACGGTCATTCATATGCAGAAACCTCTTTGAATCTATTGGGAATTTGGAATGGTAAAGAAAAAATAGTGCTCAACATAAATGGATCTTGGATTTCTTTTGTATATTACGGAGGTGGTAGAAACAAAATATTCCCACAGGCCGTTCGACTCTCTTTTCTTGCCAGCAGCTCCCATCAGCTTACTTAATTTGTTCCATCTTCTGGAAACTGCTGAGTATGTTTATGAGGGACAGAATGCAACCTTTCCCTGTGTTTATGTGAAGGCTATGAGCTACTATCAACCTCATCTATCTTGTTAGTTACTAGTAATCACCGAGGGAGTCTGCTACTTCTCATCTTCTCCTGTGACGATGGTGATGGCGGGCTGTGAGATCGTAGCAGCAGTTAATTTGGAAGAAAGAAAAAGAAAAGTCTCCAGTGATAATTTGTTCTATATTTATCTATAAGAATAGAATAATTTTCCTTTTGAGTTATCAAATACTAAAAAATTATGATTAGAATTTATCGAAGTTACTCGTAATAAAACTGTGTACAAACCATTGGGAAGAAGTTAAGGCATTCCTTTGAGTGGGTGTGGTCAATGGCGGTATCATTTAGCCAATCGGATGGGGAGGAATGGAAGTTGCTGTACCTTATAATGATCGATTCATGGGATTGAAATGGATCTTATGGTGTACAAAGGATTACTTGCTATGACCGTATACTTTGAGAGAGAATCAGCTAGTACTTTCAGTTTTGAGTTATCGACAGTGATTGTGGACACGGTCACTCATATGCAGAAACCTCTTTGAATCTATTGGGAATTTGGAATGGTAAAGAAAAAATAGTGCTCAACATAAATGGATCTTGGATTTCTTTTGTATATTACGGAGGTGGTAGAAACAAAATATTCCCACAGGCCGTTTGACTCTCTTTTCTTGCCAGCAGCTCCCATCAGCTTACTTAATTTGTTCCATCTTCTGGAAACTGCTGAGTATGTTTATGAGGGACAGAATGCAACCTTTCCCTGTGTTTATGTGAAGGCTATGAGCTACTATCAACCTCATCTATCTTGTTAGTTACTAGTAATCACCGAGGGAGTCTGCTACTTCTCATCTTCTCCTGTGACGATGGTGATGGCGAGCTGTGAGATCGTAGCAGCAGTTAATTTGGAAGAAAGAAAAAGAAAAGGGCTATAGACTTAATTTCTTTATTAACAGGGCATAGGGTAAACCGACTTTGTACTAAAAAACAGGAAATGTTTCTCCTTTTGCTATGATTTGAAATAGGAAAGATCTTAACGTCCCCTCATGTATTTATTTTAGCAGAGGAAAAACAAAACAAAAAGCTTTCGCAGGTGGCCGACCTTACTTCGTGGAAGAGGAGAAAATCTCCCTTTCTTTTCTTAAGCACGCAAAAGCTCACATGCAAGTGGCTATAAAAAGCAGGGGCAAGGTCTTTTCTTTTCCAGGAGATTTTGCCGAAGAATTCTTCCTTTGAATCAGTTTCTCCTCTTTGCATATTGTAATTGAGACCGTAGGACACCCTTTTACAGTTACCTAAATAATATGCATGCAACTATTAAAAAAATATTTATTTAAGTTTTTTAAATTATTCTAAATTAATATAAATATGTGTTTAGCCTATTGTAGTTCAAGTTCAGGTCTACAGGGGCTTCCTCTCTTCTTTTTCCCTACTTCTTTCTAACATGGTAATAGTAATAGAGTATGCATGTATTAGATTATCAATTTATGTAAAGGTAAACCATCATAAAATCTTCTCTTTTTTTCTTTATATAAAGTGATGGTTCTGATTGACATCTTTCAAAATTATTTTGATAAAAATAAAAATGAATTTTATTGTTCTATGCTCTTGCTGCTTGATTTAAACTGTAAAAAGTATTATAAAGTCTACAAGTCTTCTCTTCTTTCTTTTCATTACATAACTTGGAGACTGCTTTAAATAAATCTTTTTTAATAATTTTTCATTGAAAAAAGCTTATTTGACAATAATTAAAAAACTTGAGATTATATTATGCTGTCAAAGCAAGAACAATTATGATGGTTTCCATTCTAACAATAGGTGCAAATGTTTTTATGAAGTGTAATCCAAGTTGATATGAATAATGTTTAGCAACAAGTTTTGCCTTGTACTTTTATACATTGTACTTTTTATTATATATAAACTGTAAAATTTTGATGAAAATAGCCTTCAGATTGATACCTTATAAAATTATTTTGATGAAAACAAAAATAAATTTTGTTATTCCATGCTCTTAGTGCTTGATTTAAATTGTAAAAAGTTCTATAAAGTCTAAAGGCCTTGTCTTCTTTCTTTTCATCACATAACTTGGAGGCTGCTCTAGATAAACTTTTTTTTTATAATTTCCCATTAAGAAAAGCTTATTTGACAAGAAGTTGAAACACTTGTAATTGTATTTGTGCTGCCAAAGCAAGAACAATTATGATGGTTTCCATTCTAACTATAGGTGCAAATGTTTTTGTGAAGTGTACTCCAAGTTGATATGAATAGCCTTTAGCAACAAGTCTTGCCTTGTATTTTTATACATTGCAATTTTTATTATATTTAAACTATAAAATTTTGATCAAAATAGCCTTCAGATTGATACCTTATAAAATCATTTTGATGAAAATAAAAATAAATTTTGTTGTTCCATGCTTTTGGTGCTTGATTGAAACTGTGAAAAGTTCTATAAAGTCTAAAGGCCTTGTCTTCTTTCTTTTCATCACATAACTTGGAGGCAGCTCTAGATAAACTTTTTTTTATAATTTTCCATTGAGAAAAGCTTATTTAACAATAAGTTGAAAAACTTGTAATTGTATTTGTACTGCTAAAGCAAGAACAATTATGATGGTTTCCATTCTAGTAATAGATGCAAATGTTTTTGTGAAGTGTACTCCAAGTTGATATGAATAACCTTTAGCAACAAGTCTTGCCTTATACTTTTATACATTGTAATTTTTATTATATTTAGTTTTGTAGGTCTATTTTAATATAATTGCTTTCTTTTTCTTTGGGAGTTCCACTAACTCTCATGTATGATTTTTCACAATACTTGTCATTTCTTCATTCATAACCTTTCTTCACTCTTCCTTTCTTGATGTTTCTTTAATATTCTAAGGTTCACCAAAAAAGAATGAAATATGACAAGAATTATAAATATCAATTAATTACCAATACTTTTTTGAAGAGCCAAATCTTGAAAATAGATATTTGGATAAAGAATTCTAGTGGTAACCACAAGAATAGAAAAATAGCTAGGAGTAACCATATTCAGATGGACCATTCTTAAGGAAAGGAAGATTGAAGAGATAGAAATAAGATGTCACTAGCAAGTCTTGAGCATTTAATTAAAATTCAAATTACAAGAATTATGAACTTTTAAAATTAGGGGGGAGTGTTAGAAATAATTTTTAAGTTTTCATTCAAAGTGTTTTTTAATTCTTTTTTGAAACTCCTAAATATATGTATGTAACTATTAAAGATGCGTTTATCTTTTAAGTCTCTTAAAATATCTTAGACTAGTATAAATATGTGTTTATAGTATTATAACTTTGAGTTGAGGTCTACAGGGGCTTCCTCTTTTAGGATAGTAATGTAATGTTAAAGTTTCATTTCTTTCCTCGCTTATTTATAACACACACTTTGTATGTTAGAAGATTGACCTTTGAATGCTTTGATGCCCTTTCTTTCTCTAATTGAACATGTACTTCAAATAGTTGACTTAATGTAAGTTCATATAACTTGTACATTGTTTGGTTGTTGGACCTATATGATGACATGCTCTATTGATTTACCCCAGAACTTGGAATACTTTTAGCATTTGATCTTGTATAAGTAGAATGGGTACCTTTTCCATAAAAATAACTGCCCTCCATAACTATTTTTCACATGAGGCTCCTATCATATAAAGCACAACTTGAGCCAAATCATGGAACAAGAAAATTAAAATGAGAGTTTAACTGGCAATATAATATTCCTTGCTCTTTAGTACGTTCAATCTCATGGCTTATTTTTCCTTTACTTTAATTGTAAACCTTAGATAAAAATTAAAATCTTATAAATGATGATAAAATAAATGCAATAGTGATAATTTTTTACAAAAATTAAAATCTTATAAATGATGATAAAATAAATGTAATAGTGATAATTTTTTACAAATAAAGTTTTTGAGGACTAAAACCCTTGAACATGATTTATTTTTAAGAACGTTAATGAGACAAATAACTATTTAAAAAGAAAAACACCTAAAATTTTAAAATGACACAAGGGAAAACACCTTGTAAATATGGAATGGCGGGGGAGTATAAATGTACTTTTTGCTTATAAAAAAAGCCAAGAGTGGTCAGCCACTTTAGGGAAGAAAAGAAGGGGAGATGTTTTGTATTATGAAAAAGTTGGATTATGGGAATGGATTGTGTTAATGGTTTATTTAATGCTTGAAATTTAATTATGATGGTAGTTTAACATTAGGCAAAGCTCAAATTAAGGAGAAAAAAAAGCATACCCCCACCTTAACTATAGGGTTGACCACATGTAATGCATGGATCGAAAAAATAGTTTTCAAATTTTATATTTGTATTGTATTGTGAATTGTAATAATATCTAAACAATAATAATTAGTGAGTAAGAATCAAGAAAGAATGAAAGTGGACTCATGATTTCCTTTATTGAACATGTCAACTAATAGGCCAAAAAATAGAGGCAAATAAAAATGATTAGTAATGATGAAAGGTAATAGATGATGTATGAAATTATTGTAGAAAATATGTTTGAATTAATCTGGATTTAATCGATATAGAATTTTGATTATTGAAATGAAAATATATAGGGTATGTATGATTTTGGAAAATAAATGTTGAGTGTTAATTTATGAAAAAATTGTGTAATGATGTGATGATTTTAAGGGAAAATAAAAATGATTAGTGATGATGAAATCATTCTTTGATACAAGGGAATACTATTGCAAACAGGCCACAAATCAAAGTAGAAGCTGGGACGTCACACATTGTCTATTTATGAAATACAAATTATTATAATTATATTTGATATTAAGAGTAATTGGTTTAGAGATGATGAAAGGAATAAATAAAAAAGAAAGAGAGAATCAAAAGAGATCCAAACTTAATTAGTTGTTCTTGAAATATGAGAAACTAATGATATCGATATAATTTATTGATATAGACACTTTCCAACTTGATTAGTTGTTCCTAGAATAATGTCCATGGTTATAACATTTCTATGAACAAGACATCTTCATCAAGTAGGTCTTCAGGGAACTTTATTATTTAGGAATAGGATAATCAACAAGAAAATTAGCTAGTACTTGCTTCTTGATTATATTTTTTGAGATGTAGATAATTTCAAATTCTTGAAGCAATAAAACTTGTTTCGTCAATGTTTATAATAGTACTGGCCTTAAGATGATGTGTTTAAGAGGGTTAACTTAAGAGATTAATCATACTAGATATGCGTTAACTTCTTTATCATGAACATTAAAGCTATATATGTCTTCTTTATTGTAGAATAATTCAGTTCAACCCCATTTAACATCTTACTAAGGTAGTAAATAACACTTTTCTTGAGCTGTAATATAAAGGATAAATAGGTGTCTTGATACTGGTTTTTGTAAGATATGTGGATTAAACAAATACTCTTTAATCTTTGAAGGGAGTAGTAGTATAAACTCCATCCTAATAAAATGATGTATTATTCTTTATCTAGTGAGTGAATGGTTGATATTGATCAGCTAAGTTAGAAATGAATTTCTATATATAAGCCAACTTTCCTTAAAACTTCTCAACTTGTGGATATTTCTTGGTTTTGGCATTTTTAAGACGGTATCAATCCCAGACTAATCAATCTCAATTTCTTAATGTTACACTATAAATCCTAGGAATTTACTCGAGGGCACACCAAATGTGTATTTTATTAGAATCGATATAATATTTCAAATACCAAATGAATATCTTGCAAATTATTTTCTTTTTCCTTTCAACTTCATCACAAGGTCATCGATGTAGCATTCAACATGTTGGTAAAACATATCATAAAAAAATGTTCTATATAGCCCTTTGATAAGTGGCACCTGTATTTTTTAAGCTAAAAGGCATGAACTTATACTAACATATCTTTTTCAAAGTTTGAAAGGTTGTCTTCTCCTCATCTATGAGAACTATTCAAATATGATTATAGCTAGATGAATCATCCACGTAGGTTAGTCTCCTGTGTAATGTTGGAGCAATAACCATGATCTCAATAATTAGAAGTGGAAAGTCATTTTTAGGAAAAGTATTATAAGGTCTTAAACATCCACACAAACATAAATCTCACCATTTTTATTTTTCATCGATTTGATATTTAAGATCTATGTAGGATACTTCACCTCATAAATGAAACCCACCTAGATAAGTATGTTGATTTTGCCTCAATTTAAGAGATGAGTTTAGGATGAAAAAGATGTTGAGCTTCTTTTATTAGTCTAACCTTAATCTTAACTGCTAATTGATGGATAATAACCCTTAATTTTAAACCTAGCATTTCATTGTAATACCAAGCAAAGATATCTCAATACTTTATCAAAAGTTTAATGTAGTCCCTTTATTCTTTAAGTGATAAGTTTGTATTAATAAAGCTTGGACGTGGGTTTTTAATGATATTTAAGTTAACCTTTTTAAGTTCATCCATGAAAGACTTGTTTTCTTATTTACAGATGGGTAAAACCTCCTCAATATCTTCTTCAATGAGAAACTCATCACTATCATCATCTTCAATATCGATGTGATTTGAAATGAGATACATCATTTCCTCTTCTTTCTCTTTATCAAAAGGTTTTGTGATCACTATTGTGCATTTTCCCCTTTCAATATCACCTTAACACTTACCACCCATTTGCATTGTCTCTTTATGCATAAAAGTTTTTGGCTAGGAAGATCTTTTGAGCCCTTTACCAAAGTTGGTCAATGATCAAATACATGCTTATGATCTTTTTATTTAGATGGTCCAAGTCTTATGAATAACAACATCTATTTTAGACTCTTTCCACTCCTTTTGGTTTTAATCCTATCAAAGACTGAAGCACGAGTCGTAGTCACACCAAGACAATCCGAAACTAAAGGCTTTAGAGGTGAAGGTTGACTTTTTTCCTTCATTTCTTCCACACATAAGTATTGTGAGGCCTTTTTTTAATTTTAAAATGAAGCAGTATAAAAGATTTTTATCCAATACCAGCTTTTAAAATTTTTCTAGAAGTTTTCTTCTCTCTCTAAGCCTTTTTAGTCTTTGTAGAAACTTATTTACCTTTGACTCAAGCTATATCCCATCCTTTGCTAATTTATTGACATCTTTACAACTATAAACAACCATGGATAAAAGTTTATAATTAGGATTGAAGCCATTCACTCGTTTATTAGCATGTCATTTGAGATTTATAATTACCAACTCAGTTTGATGAACAAATATTTTTTATAAAAGTTTTAAAACCTTGGTCAATGTAATATTAGTAGGTAGCAAGATCAATTTTTTAGCCTCTTAGTGATCTTCTTTTCTTTCTTAGTAAAAGAATATTAACCCTCTTTTCTTGCTCACACTAGAATATATTGTAATACCATAGCTTTATATGATATCTTATTATTGATGAAGTCTTCTGCTACCTTTTCTTTTCCTTTGTTCTTTATTGGACGAGTTATTTTTTCATTTACAGATGATTTATGCACTTTTACGCTCTAAGAGTCAACTTATCCTCTTCTTAACAGTCAGGCAGCGATCGTAGTTCTTGGATTATGGTTAATATAAAATAAAACTTTACGTTGGTAAAATAAGCTTTAGTTATGGTGAAGAGTTCGTATCCTTCACTCTTTATCTTACTTGTCCATATTGATTATACTTAAAGCATTAGTGAAACGTTGAGGAGACAATATAATTTTTATGGATCCATGGTTGTCCACGTTGAGGAGACAATATAATTTTTATATATCCATGGTTGTACAAGTAGCATTTTATAAGTAGTTTTAACATTTATAATGTGAAAAAATACATTGAACTCTATATCTTTCATATGTATCATAAGTTTTATATTTCTCATGATGTTTTTCCCTTCTTGATTAAAGTCTTGAAATGTTAGATGAATTGAGAACAATTCATCTGTAGGAATCCCAATCTCGTTCATAATTTTAAGAGGTAGTATATTAACAATCAAACCATCATCCATCAAAATATAATTCACCATCTTTTCAATGATGTATCCTTTAATACAAAAAGGTGATTATAAAGTCTTGATCAAAGCAACAAGTCTTCATCATTAAAGAATATCTTCTTGATGCATATATTATGAGGCAAGTTTATAGAGTCATTGTGGCATTATTTCATGATTTTTTTAGTATAAGTTTTCTCTAGATCAATTTGATAGCAAGTGGCATATACATTTTTCATCCTTCTCAACTCTCTTATCATGTAATCATTCAGTATAATGAGCTTTTTCAAGCTTT